CTGCAATGTGAATAGAGCAGAAGAGCAAACTAGAAAAGAAGGGAGCGGGGATAACAAAGATGAGGTAAGCAATAGCAGGAGGCCCTCAGTAGTGTTATAGTTAAATGGCGAGCAAGAGCCATAGACTGCCATTCATCCAGCAAACAGCTGTTCTGGGTGAAGATGCTGTTGCCCTACACTGTTTATCCTACTTCTGCTGGAAATTGCTCCTTCCAAGGTAGAGAGGTGAATGCCTGCTGTCCTGTTTGTGGCCCCAGCCATCATCAGTTTAAATACATGCTTTGCCATTGATTCCACTGATGTTTGCTTGATGTGTTTTGGTAGTGCTCGTATAAACAGCTCTGCTGGCAGAATGGTGAAAGTAGCAGCTCTCTTCCGACTGAAAGGGCTGGAATAGGACAGTTGTCTGCCACTCTGCTATGGCAGGTTAATGGAGTAAAAAAAAAAAAAGTGCCAATATGGAGAGATAATTGGGATAAACTTGAAATAAAAGCAAAAAAGCACTCTTGCATGCTTTCAGCCTCCCATTTACTGTTGAAGCATTGGCTAATGTAAAGGAATAAAAGCATCTAAATTTTTCATCTGTCAAGACTTGGCTGTCTTGACAGCTGTAGAGAGAAACTTGATGTGAACAGCTTAAGAAAGCTGTGGAGATACAATTCCATTTGGGAGATGGAAAAAACAGTAGAGCAGCTTTTGTAGGATCTTGTTATTGATCTGTGCCCATTACACTTGGGCTGATGTCTAATGTTATAATATGCTAATGTAATGGAGTGTTATTCGCAAAGGAAGAAGTTAGCACTCACGATACCATCTCTTAACTTCAACTGGGAAAAACAAAATGCTCAGGACTGAAAACATCTCTCATTTAAAGAGGAGGGAGGAAACAAAAACTCCAGGCATCTTTCCTACTCAGTGTATCGCGTATCGATCAAAACCCACATAAAGGCATTTGCTGTAATATGCAAAGAGAAACTCTTGGTAAAGGCTTTTTTGCTGGTTGAAGTCAGATGTTCTTTACCCTTGGAAACATAATTCTCTGGAATTTGGCAGTGGGTTGGGAATTAAGAGCAGTGCCAGTTACAGTCCTGTGGATTTGCATCTGTTATGCTGCGTTTCAACATGCGAGCGTATCTGCAGAGGAACAATTTCGTAAGTCCAGTTTACAACCTTTGTCCACTCACGGGTATTCCTTCTGCCTTTGAAGTGTGGAATTGTGCTTTCCACTACTTCAGTACTGAGAAGATTTTAGTATTCTGAGCACTCTCAAAGGTGAGAGATGCAAATAATTATATCCAGCAGCAGCTTCAGTGTGTTTTAGGATAGCACTCTGCTTTGAGTGGTGTTTGAGAAGGCAGTGTTGAACTTTACTGGCATTTGTGGTACTTAGTATTTTGTTTTCTAAATGTTATCCACTGTCTTGAGCTTGGATGTACATTTATTTTGAAGGTTTGAGGGCGCTAGTTTAATGGGATTAATTTTAAGTATGGGGAACCTTATCTTTTTATTACTTACTATGTCTGTGTAAGATACATGCTCTTTGAGGCACCTAATGAGAGACTACAGTGAGTAGGAAACTAGCAGTTAGTGACTGATTTGAAGATACTGTTTGTTCTCTTAGCCTTAATGATACTAAGAACATGCTCCTCTGTCTGGCATGTGAATAATGCAGTTTGCAGCTAGCCATGAGATTCACCAGAAATGCTGTAACTGGTGCAGTGGAAATGATGTGTTGTTTCAAGCTTCTAACCTGTTTCTGTGACTAAGGTGAAGCAGTGGCCATAGAAGGTACTGAGATAACAGTATAAATAGTTGTTGGGAGTGATAATGAACAGTATCGGTGTTTACCAGCAAGTGTTGTCTAAACTGACAGTTTAACTGTCTTCCTGCAGTTCCTTACATCGTGTGCAAGTCATTCTGAAACCATACATGTCTTCCAGAACATCCTGGAACTGTAGTGTGTCTGTCTTATGGAGCATGTCAAAGTAATGTTCAAAAAGGTGTTCGGTTTTAAAAGCTGCCTTTACACAGGCAGTTTTTTTCCTGCAATGTTTAACTGTGCAGCTTCATTGATCAGAAGAGTAGTGGGAGCGCTAGGCACGGTGCTGCTGGGGTGGTTTTGTCACTTCTGTTTTGTGTTCAGAGCAACTGTATTAAGATGCTAAGAAAAAAAATGTAGATTGGCCTCCACGGAGAAGTGCTGTTGTAGAAGACTGAGATCTGACCAACAGCAGCGTGCCTGTCGCTGTAACGATGGTCAGGAAGGGGTGAAGTTAGCTGGCCTCTGTGGAGCTCAGTAGCTCTTGCAAATGCTGCAGTGATTCAGTGCTCATTAAATGTTTGTTCTGCATGGCTGTTACTTTCGTGCTGCTTTCTGACCTAAAACTTCTAAAGCGTTTTGCATAACTTAAAAAGGAGGGAATGTTCAGTCATGAAGCCCTGTTATTAGTGCTGAGTGATAATCCAGACATTTAGAGACAAAGGTGTGAATGAGTTTCTGAATCTTGTAAATTTTGCAAACACCAGCAGAATTTCCAGGGTGTTAAGGAATGGTGATCAGAAGACTTTCAAGGCTTTGAAATACACAGATTGTGACTCCATTGTAAAATCAAATAGAGTAAATTGCAGGTGCCTTTTAAGATGTCCTTCTAAAAGGACAATGAAGTGCCTTCTGTAGGAGTTTGGGGTAAAAAAAAAAAAAATCGGAATACAAACCCAAAATTTTACTCAGTGAAGCACATCTTTAAAGAAAGATAGTTAAACTAAAACACTAAATTGTGAATCTGAGTGATAAACAAAGGTATTCTGGCAGCAACAGCTGAATTAACTGAGCTTCGTTTCTTCTATGAAATTCACTTCTGTAGTGCTCCCTTGCAAGGCTGGCTGCAGACTGATTTTTTAATAAATATTTATACACCACTGGGCAGTGACTTGAACTGCTTTTTTCTGAGCAACTGCAATTCACATAGTTAATGTCAGCAATGCTTTGAACAGTTCGGTTCTGTACAGCAGAATGAAACAATGGTTTTTGCCCAGTAGACTGGGGGGAAGGTAGAGATCTATGGAGACTTCATGAGAAAGAAGCCAACAAATGCTCAAAAGTTTGAACTGAGCCCAGAGATTGAATAGGGCATTTGTCCACAGCGTGACTCGGGTGGAAATAGCATGTGGAACGTATGGATGGGGGCAGGGAAGGGAATAGATGCACCATCCTTCTCCAGTAAAAAAACAGTTCAGTGCCGCCTTAAATGGTCAGCTTGTCAAGACTGCCTCAGGGGCTTTTAAATGAAGCAAGAAATGGGGGAGATGATGAGCAGAATTAAATAGGATTGCTAACAATGAATTGAATCACAAGGTGTAATAGGAACTACGCACAAGGATTTATATCAAGTCACTGCTCTGTGTTTGCAATCATCATAGGCTGCCTCCTGCAGAAAAGCTGTGCTCTGCTGTGTGACAGATACAGGGAGCAAAAGTTCCCTGCTCTTTGCCAAACTCCTGCGTGGCTGAGATCATCTCAGGTGCTGCAGAGAACGGTGCGTGGAACCGGCAGGCAGAGGACAGGCAAGGCTCTTGTGCAGTTCAGCTCATACAACCTCTGTAGGTCAGCATGCTCCACCTGTCACAGCGTGTAGCAGTCCAGTGGGAAAGCAGCCTGTTTTGCTTCTCATCTCAGTCCCTGAGCCACCGAGGGAGGTGCACCCGCTGTAGTGTTACACCAGCTGGCCGGGGGTGGGGGGAGAAATCCGCCAGGTGAGAACATGAAGCATTAAGAATCTGTGGAGTTCTCTTGTCAAGAATGACCTTGCTGGAGAAATGGTCATATTTCAACAATCTCTTTATATCACCAGCACATTTTTATGTTGAATTTGTTATGCTGCTTGTGACAATTATTGTCATTGCTTCTGCCATCTTGTATCCAAGCTAAATAATTGTTTCTGAAGGTATAACTGTTTTCTTGGTTTTCCGTAGCCCAGTTATAAAAAAAACAAACAAACAACTTTTTACTCCTTTTAATTTTAAAATAACAGTAGTTTCCTTCAAAATTGCCAGCGTTAATGGTGTTACCTGTAATGATCTTTCACTGACTGATTCAAAGGATTGTTAAAAGGGTAGTGGCAGCACATTTGTGTCTTTATGCTTTCCTGTGAAAGTGTGTGCTTCAGCTCTGTGGTGATGGTTGGGTATACAACCCTGAAATGTCTGTTCAAACACCTCACAGCGAGTGGTGTGGGGAGCGATGTGTTTCTGTGGCACAGTGACAGGGATGTTCACTTCAGCAAAGATTTGTCTCCATTCAAGAGGTGCTGACGTGGCTTCCTGTAATAACAAATACTGTTGTTTGATCTCTTGTGCAGAAGTTCTGATTGGCACAGGGTTAAAATACGCCTTCCCAAACATTGATGTGAGAGCCCAGCGGCTTTGGTGTCTGCTGGTGTGTTTGGACTATGTTTTCTGTTTTGGGTCCTGTCTGTGTTGGACTGGATTTTTTTTTTTTTACTACAGAATCCCCCGTGATGCTGGAAAACACTACCTTTGTTAGCGCCTGGCTTGTTTTAGTCTCTGTTTATGCTTGCAGTGAGTGAAGTAATGGTCATCTTGGGTTTTCAGAAATGCTTTGTCTGTCTTTTAAGTTGATGCTTTGAGGTGATGTTTGAGGGCATCTGCCTGGCATATCCTTCCAGAGTAAAACTTGAGGGCAATATTATGTTAGACTCTTGACTGGGCTGAGTGCAGTTGTAGTAACAGACCTAGGGCACTGCTGAGAATTGGCTAATGCTGGAAGAGTGCAAAGGCCTGTTTGAGGCCTCCTGTGTGTTTATGGATTTGGGTTGGCTCAGGTTGCTCTGCTCTTAAACTGAGAGCAGAGCACTTTAAAAAAAAGAGTATTGTGGTAATGTGTCATGGTAACTCCTGTCTGTGCTCACGTGTTGCAAAGAACAGTAAAAATACAGCGCTTCCCTGGCACTCATCGGCTTTTATTTTCCTTCTTTAGGACTTGACGGGCATAGAGTCCATGGACCAATGTCGTCACACACTGGAGCAGCACAACTGGAACATAGAGGTACCACTGCAAATAAGATTTGTAGCGTTTTCCAGGTACCTGGATTAAACAGAATACTCTGTGGGGAGAGGGGGGGCCCCTACCCATAAGATTTAGCTTGTCAACCCCTGAATTTACACTAGTAGCTCTTTATAAAAGTATCTTGATACATCTGGAGAGCTGGTTTCAGAAGTACACTGCAGAGTTGTTATGGCTGTGAACAATCACTTGACTGGCGCATTGTGTAACTTCCCGTAGTGTGTGTGTGCAGGCTGCCATGGAGAAGCCTTTCCATACAGAAAAGAGTGTTGGCGGTTACTGTTTGTAATGAGTTGTGCTTATCCAGTGCTCTGGGGCTGTGGACAAATAATACCTACTGTTAGTGTCCAAAGTATGAAAAAGAGATTTTTCTGCCATCCTTAAATGTCTGAAACCTCCCTTTGCTCTTTCTTGTGTCAAAGGCAGCTGTACAGGACCGACTGAATGAGCAAGAGGGTGTCCCAAGTGTCTTTAATCCTCCTCCATCGCGGCCGTTGCAGGTCAATACAGCCGACCACAGGATCTACAGCTACGTTGTCTCAAGGCCACAGCCAAGGGCAAGTTATCTTACGGTGGATTTTGTCCTGTTTCTTGGGTGACTCTTTGAACAACAGAACTTGCAAGCAGGGAAAGGAATTGTTTTCTTTGCATGCTGTTATCTCCTTTCTAAATATTTTATCTTCTGAAAACAAAATGTAGAACTATTCCTTCAGCCTCTATTACTACTGTGGATATTTTCTCCACCGTGTGATTCACAGTATGAGACAACCTTTTCTGTGTCACAGAATGTCTTGCTGTGGCGTAGTAAAGCTTTTTGATCAGTTCAGTTGGAACAAAGGACTGTCCCCTCCTTATAGCAGAGTGATAATATTTTTTCTTTTTACAGCCCCCCTAAAGTGTCTATTGACTTGAATACAGTATCAATTACTTGCATTAATGTTTCACAAACAAATTTGCATGAGCACCTGTAAGACTCAGTGCTGTTAATCCCTTTGTACAGTTAAGAAAATTAGCACAGAGCAAAAGCATCGCTGCTTGAATAGTCAGTGACACCGGTTTTCAGACGTGTCACGTTGAATTTTGAATGAACCATGTTAGTCACTTAAATTTGATTTGACATGTCCGAAGCCATGAAATATTGCTGAGCTTTTTTGCAGTGGTTAGAGCACTGAAACTCCCCTGTGTGCTTGATGCTGGTGGACACTTTGCTTTAGCAGGCCTGGTCCTGGGGTGGAGACTTCTAATTCTTTGTTTGTGATTGCAGGGCCTGTTAGGATGGGGTTACTACTTCATAATGCTTCCATTCCGATTTACCTATTACACATTACTTGATATCTTTAGGTAAGTACTTTTTTTGTGCTGACTCATGTATTGACTGCATCAAGGCACACTCTAGCTTAGATTTGGCTGTACCTCTGTCACTTGGATCTTAAATGGAAAATCTGCCATTAGACTTAATTTGCTCAACTGGCTTTATCTGTAGCCTTGTAAAGTTCCTACACTGTTTAGTAAGAAATAAATCTTACTGCAGAGAAAATTAGCATCTTGCAGCTCTGTAAATGAAATATTTAATTGGAGTTCTAACTCCACGCGGCTTTACAGTTTGAGTGCCACGCAAAGGGGATGCAAAACAGTGTCAAACTGTCCAGTGTTCTTGGACAAACAGCTTGATCAGAACCACGTCCCGCTGGGCTGCAGGTTAACGTGCCCTAATCCCTGTGTGTTACTTGGCAAAACCCAAACTGTAAACACCTTTGCTTTTTCCCCTTTGGTGTCTGTTGCCTCTTCTCCCTTTACTGCCCCGAAGGGCTAGTTCATCTTGCCTCCTTACAGCATCGATAGAGAAAAGGGAATGTTAAAAGGTGGTAAACATCCAGCAGTCCTGCCGTCTGTGTTGTTTTGGCAGTTTCCCCTGTTGTATTACTTTTTTTCCCCCTTAAAGACTTTTCCAAAGTTTGGTGTAACTTCTATGCATCAATAGAACTAAACAACATTGATACCTGCTTTGCAGTTAAGCTTTTTCAGCCTCAGAGGAATGACTGTTTCTTCTGTCTTCATTGGACTCCTAGTGTAATGTTCTCTTTCTGCAGCTCTTTGCACTCCAGAATTGTTAGTCTTGGAATAGCAGAAATGCAGTTTTCAAACAAAAAACAAAGTGGACAAAACTGTGTGGCTTTTAACAGCCTGTCTTTGACTAAATTCCTCAAACCTCATACTGTTGGTGTGGCTTATGCCTGATGCTTCAGAGGAAGTCGAAACTGTTAGTCACACAGAATTCAGATACTTTCTGATGCCTGGCATGAGATAATATTTGACTTGGGGTTTCTGTAGCAATGGTATCAGTTTGGAGCAGGTGGCAGTTTAGGTTGTGATTATAAATGTTCAAGGGTCTCAGCTGTGACTTTTTTCCTCCTTATGAATACCAGTGACTGTCTGTGGAAAAGAAAATCTGTCCTTCAGAAAGTCAGTAAGCTGAATTTCCAGTGTCCTTTGCTTCCTTCCTAGGTTTGCTCTGCGTTTTATACGCGCTGATCCTCGTAGTCGGGTCACTGACCCAGTGGGTGACATTATTTCGTTTATTCATATGTTTGAGGAAAAGTATGGGAGAATACATCCTGTCTTCTACCAGGGAACTTACAGCCAGGTCAGTGTCACATGTTGGTGCATAGATCCTGGGGAGATGGAGAGTGGGGATTTTGCCAGATGGTATCAGGGCCTACATGGCAAAATCACTTTTCATCTAAAAGCCCAGCGTTTGTCCCAAAACTCTCTAACGGGGTAATGGAGAGCAGAGAACAAATGTATTGGAAAACCAGTGTCTGCCAGGCTTGATGGCGTGCCAAGCCTGCAGAGTTGGAAAGCAAAGCTGCTCTGACTGTTCCTCGACCGTCTGTATGGCTCTGTAGCCAACAGCTATTCTTTGTAATCCTGCCTTTGTTTTTATAAACTGATGTGGTATGCCAGAGTCTGTCCTTCTGTTCACCAAATTGGGATTGGCTGGCTGGGCTTGTATTATAATGCAACTCCAGAACTTGGTGCAGGACCTCAAAATTGAGAGAGGGAGCTCCTGAAGAAATTATGGGAGGTGAGAGTTCCATATGTTAGATCTGGGCTGATGGTGCCCTCTGTAAAAGAGGGATGTCCCAATGGGTACTGCCTCTTCTGCAGCTTCTCTTAGCCTAGCCGAGGGAAGGGCCTCCTGCAGTGTGTCCCAGCAGACAGTTGGATCAGCACTGCTTCCTGAGTGGCAGGGAAGAATTTGGAGTCTGCATCTGCTCCACGCTGCACAGCGATGCAGCTCGCCACCTCCGCAGACCTTCTAGGCCCCTCTGTCTTGCCTGGAATCCAAACTTAAATAACCACGGAATGGTTAGGCTACCAAAACTCGGTGCCAGTAAAACAGGGAGCCTATTGTGCACTTATCCTGTGGTCTTGTTAAGAAATGCTCTTGGGTGGGTGGAATCCAGAGACTGTAGATGCAAAAAGGTTTTTTGTTGGTTTTTTGTTTTGTTGGGGCTTGCAGCATTATTGAGTTATCTCTTTTTAGTAGTGTTTTCACTTGATGTGGTCTGAAGATTGTGTCCTGTACCAGGCTAGAGTGGAAAGCTCAGCCTTGGCTGCTGTGAGTCTGAGGGATGAAGGAGGGCTCTTCACTGCCAGCTGAGTCTGGTGGGCGGTGGGGGGTGTCAGTCTGCGCAGCTGCCTACCTGGCTTCGCTCTGAGTTCACTGTTCTCCAAAGCCACATCCTGAAAGGAGTGTGAAAGAACACACTAGTAAGTAGCCCCCTTAAATGAGGGTTTAGTCGGAAGGTCTGACAGGTTCATCCTCCACTGCTGCTTCATTAAAACCACGCTAGTGGCAGAGTAATGGCCCGGGTAAATGTTGCTGAGCTGTGTCACACAAGTCTTGTGGGCGCTGCTTTCCCCTTGCCTAGAGACCCTGTAACTTTACCCCCTCTGCTCTTATGCCAAGGCACTGAATGATGCCAAGCGGGAGCTGCGCTTCCTGTTGGTTTATCTTCATGGAGATGACCACCAAGACACAGATGAATTCTGCCGGTAGGTAGGAGAGTTTTCCAAATAGTTATCTTTGCACTTTAAATGCAGCTTCATTCACACGATCTCTTCTCATCCCCTAGCAATACACTGTGCGTACCTGAGGTGATCACCCTCATAAACACTAGAATGCTCTTCTGGGCTTGCTCAACCAATAAACCAGAGGGATACAGAGGTGAGTGTGTCCCTTCTGGGCTTTACCTATCCCCTCCTGTCTCTGGAACAAGCCAAATGCTCTTTGACAAATTTACATGTGTGAAACACGCTGTTGGCTTTTGTGCAAGCAGACAAGAGATTTCAGGATTGCATGGGGAAATATGTGTTGGTTTCCGTGTGATATCTCAGAGGGCCTGTTTGGATGCCAGGGAAATACCTTCTGCTCTTTACCTCCACTGTTCCATATGTTTCTGGGCAGTCCTAGTTGTGTGTTCTTTGCTGCGGGCATTCAAGCTGCTTTCAGTGCCTTGTTAATGGGAGTTAGTGGGTGTGTGCTGAGGATTAAACTGAGTGCAGAAATGAGTATCTAACTAGCTGTGCCCTTAACACTGGCTGGTATTACGCCTGAGGCCAGGAGTGACTTGTGAGGTGCATTCTTTCCCTTTCTGAGAGTCATGTTTACTCCACACCCAGTCTCTCTGTCTCCTCAAAAGTCCACAGTGAGGTCCTTTTAAGTACTGTCTTTCCAGAGCTATTGATACCTGGCCTGCCAGCATTTTGGTAGGGTTTTCTGCAAATGGAAGCTTTTCCCAAGGTTCTGTTCGTGCCTCCTGAGTCGCTTCTGACCCTTCCTGTTTCATGGCAGGAGAGGCCAGGAGTTCTGGTACGAAGTCTGGGTCATTCTTGGCTTCATAGTTCAGCTACCAGCTATCGACACCTTGAAAGAATGGATTTCTAAGGAGACATTCTTTTACTTATTGCTGTTTCATTGCTGCAATGCTTTGGAGTCACAGCCTAGAAAGCAGAGCTGGAAGGGATCGTGGCCTTTCACTTAATCCATGGGGTGCTCTGATTTAGTTTCAAGGGCTCCACTGGTAATAACGGCTCCAAGTTGTGTGATGTGCCATGCATGTTTTAAGGAGGAGGTGGTCAGCAGCCATAGGTGAACAGTAACTTAAAAGCCCCTGATCCGCTCCATTCCCTGCCTCGAGACAGAGCCTGCCTCTGGCACAAACAACCTAATTTTGTTTGGAAATGTCCAGGATGGACACTGCCAAAACCAAGACAGTCCCCATGACAGTATTTTCCAGAGTCTGGCCATCCTTAATCATCTTAGCAAGTGTTTCCCTGTGCTTGACCTGTGTTTTTCTTCCTGCAGTTTAAACCCAGGGCTTTTTGTCCTATTCTGAATGGACATTCAGAGCAATTTACTTCCTTCCTGCTTGAATTAAAGAGCCTTTTTGGTTACTTGAAGGATTGTTTTTTTCCCCTCAGTCTCTATGCTCCAAGCCACTTCCTCCCTTTGCTAATTTATAGGGTTTAGTTTGACAAAATGGAGCCTGAGGCCTTTTCTGCCTAGGAAGAGATGGTGGCTGTGGAAGCTGCTTTCCTAGGCCCTTGGTGATGGACAGTGTGCTGTACACCTTGCTGACCCTTCTGCATGGGGCAGTTATGGTGACGTTTGTGCCTGTTTCCCAGTCTCCCAGGCTCTGCGAGAGAACACGTACCCATTCCTGGCCGTGATTATGCTGAAGGATCGTAGAATGACGGTAGTGGGGCGCCTAGAAGGCCTCATCCAGGCTGATGACCTCATTAATCAACTGATGTTCATCATGGATGCCAACCAGACGTACCTGGTGTCTGAACGCCTGGAAAGGTATGACGGGACCGGAGCCTCCAGCAATGCAGCCCTTGTGGAGGCAGGCTCTGCTCTGCTTCCTTCCTCCCTCCAGACACTGTATGTAGGCAGGTAGCTCAGCATCTCCCATTCTGTAACACAGCCCATGGGCTCTCCTCTTCCCAGTGGGATCATTGGTCCATAAATTCAGGCCACCCTATAGTCAGGGAGCTGGATGTGTTGCCCACACAGGCCCGCTACTGAAGGGTGGGTGTGAGTGCTCTACTGTTTTCCGCAGTTGGAGCACATCCTTAGCGTGCTGGAGCTTTGTAGGTAAAGCTTGGACAATAGCCAGTAGGAGCCAAGGGGGAGCAAAGGTGTTGCAGGCAGGAGGGGAGCTGGGGTCCGCAGGCAGTCGGTGAGCGAGTGCTGCTGCCTGGGCTGGCTGTCCTGAATTCTGACTGTGTTTTCGGTAGTGCCTCGCGAGCACGAGCTCCAGTCCCTGGTAACTCTGTAGGGATTTGCAGGCAGTGTCTGAAGTAGGATGCCACCTTCTCATCTTCTGTCTGCCCCTCCTCTGCCTCATGGTCTCTGTGGGGGACCCAGTCACATGTTTTGCTACCTCTGGTTTCTGAAATGTGCAAGGAATTACCTGAAGGAGATAAAACCGTGAAGAGTCTGAAGTATGAGGCAGAAATCCTGGGCACTGCTTATGTGCTGTCTGTCCACTCTGTCAAGCTGCAGTGGGTGAGAAGTCTTTTGTGTTCAGTTCATTTCCACTCAACCTAGGGAAACAGTTTGTGTGCTAGGGACTGTAGAGACTCAGTTTGTCTTTTAGGAGCTCGCGGTACTCTAAATGAGGCATTACCTGATGTGTGTGCTCCTACGGGTTTGAGGCTGTACCTGCACCCTCAAGTCTGCCATCAGTCTGCTGTGCCTTCACTTTAGGGCCTGCTAGCCCGGCCTGCTAGCCCTGACTGCTTCCTGCTCACGTTTGCAGGGAAGAGAGGAACCAAACCCAAGTTCTGAGGCAGCAGCAGGACGAGGCATATCTGGCATCCTTGCGTGCGGACCAGGAAAAGGAGCGCAAGAAGAAGGAGGAACGGGAGAGGAAGAAGAAGAAGGAGGAGGAAGTGCAGCAGCAAAAACTAGCAGAGGAGAGGCGGCGACAGGTGAGAGCAAACTGACTGCTGGAGAGGATGCTGTGTCCTGTCAGATGCTCATGTTGTGTAGAAGCAGTGCCTGCAGCAGGGCTTTCTTGTCCTGCTGCTTGCTGCTTCTCTCTAAACTGGAGAGGTATGGATTTGATGGGTGGACTGTCCGGTGGGTGAGGAATTGGTTAGATGGTCGCATCCAGAGGGTAGTGGTCAAGGGCTCAATGTCCAGATGGAGGTTGGTGACGAGTGGCGTCCCGCAGGAGTCCATATTAGGACTGGTACTGTTTAATATCTTCATCAATGACATAGACAGTGGGATCAAGCGCACCCTCAGCAAGTTTGCAGATGACACCAAGCTGAGTGGTGTGGTTGACATGCCAGAGGGACAGGATGCCATCCAGAGGGACCTGGACAAGCTCAAGAAGTGGGTCCGTATGAAACTCATGAGGTTTAACGAGGCCAAGTGCAAGGTCCTGCACCTGGGTCGGGGCAACCCCCAGTATCAATGCAGGCTGGGGGATGAAGGGATTGAGAGCAGCCCTGCAGAGAAGGACTTGGGGGT